ATCCATCCAATCTCTCTGTCCCTCCATCCCTCCATCCCATCTCTCAAGTCCATCCATGCACCCATCCATTTGCTTTATCTCTGTCCATCCATCCATCCATCCATCCATCCATCCATCCATCCATTCGATCCATCCATCCATCCATCCATCCATCCATCCATCCATCCATCCATCCATCCAATCTCTCTGTCCCTCCATCCACCCAATCTCTCCGTCCCTCCATCCCACCATCCATCCGTCCATCCACCCACCCACCCATAATTAGGACCCAGGGTGGCTTACATCGTTAAAAGACAATAGAAAAGCTAAAAACAGTAAGTATACAAATATACACTAAATATACACCAAAAGACAGTAAAGACAAGTAACATTGAAACAGTAAGGCACAAGAATCCATTTAAAAACCCTCTTGGGAAGCTAGCCACTGAGGGAAAGCTTGCCTAAAGAGAGAAGCTTTACCTGCTTGGGGAAGAACAGCAAAGATGGGGCCAGTCTGGCCTCCAGTGGGAGGGGGTTCCACAGTCTGGGGTCAGCGACAGAGAGGACCCTCTCCAGTGTCCTCAGCAAGCATCCCTGTGAGGATGGTGGGACCAAAAGGAAGGTCTCGCCTGATAATCTTAACACCCAAGCCAGCTCTTAATGGGAGACACAGTCTTCGAGATAACTTGGACCCAGGCCATTTCGGGCTTTATAGATTAAAATCAGCACTTTGAATTGGGCGTGAAAACGGATCAGCACCCCATGGAGCTGCTGCAAAGTTACAAAGCCAATCAAAAAATGAAACAGCACAACTAGCTTGGGTTCAAGGGATGCGACTGAGGACAGAGAGGGTGACCCATTGCTCTCGTGCCTCTGCGGCGGCTGTCCCTCACCCGAGGGTTATGGCCCTCACCGGAAAGAGAGACAAAAGGAAAGGATTTGGAGACAGACATGCCAATTGAGCACAATGACAGCCCCAAGGTCGGCTTTCTCTGACTCGGGACCAAGACACAACCATTCGAAGACAGGCGCTCACCTGACGACGGCAGCCGACGACGTATCTTGGTCCATTGGTTGCTTTGACGATGACTAGAAGCAGGCAAGAAAAGCAAATGGTGGCATTTTAGTTCAACTGTGACAGTGCCTAGGAGAAGAAAAATGGCTAGAACATGTTTAAAGCAACTTAGGCTTTTGCCCAACTTTCTAAAATGTTGTCGCATTAAAGAAAATAGCAATAAAGCCAATTGTTATACTAGCGTACTTACATTTCTCTTCCGTTAACTGTTTAAGGACCTCACCAACAATCTGTGTTGTTTAAAAAAGAGGAAAAGAGAATATTAGCTCTACCAACCTCTGTCCATGGTTCTTTGAAAGGATGCAAATGTATCCATTTACAGCAGCCTTTGTCCCACTAGATGCAATTACAACACATTAGACTGCAAGGTTTTGTAGAAGTTCCCCTCCTCCCCAGTCAGAATAGCGGAACCCAGGATCATATGGAGAGGTGAGGTCCACAGCACATCAGCACAGGTGCCTGTTATCAGCAGCTTCTTTTGTTTACTCCTTTCCCCAAGAGGGCTACTTAAAAATTTGACAACATTCATGAGCATTCATGGTCATTCACACAATGTCCTTCTAATCAACACATCATCAACCTTATTACAGAACAGAGAACACACAGCTCCTCCAAATATGATTCGACTACGGCACCCGTTGTAGAAGAGCAACTGTTTCCTTGCTCTAAAATTGAAGTGCTGAAATGAAATTAATGGACCTGGCCAGAATCTGGCCCTGAAGCCAATGGACCCATTGAGTTCTTCCCCGAGGCTAGTAATGGGGGAACCTATGGCATGCCTGCCACAGCTGGCACACAGAGCCCTCTCTGTGGGCATGTGAGCTGTATGTTGCTGGATCGCTACCCCCCGGCAGCCAAACCTGAGGCAGCGGTTGCAGCCGCGGTGCTAGCACTCCGACAGGTGGGGGGCCAAGATCTGGAGCAGTTGGCACTGGCAGGCCGGCCGAGTTTTAGGTAGTGACAGGGTTGGGCACGACAGAAGGCGGATCTGGAGTGGGGACTGCAGGCACCTCCATGGCCAGGATTCCCCCTTCCACCGCCGCCACTTCCGAGATTTATCACAGCTAAGCAAATAATGAGCTATGGCTAACTACAGCTGGCTACCTTCCAATTTTATCTACATGTATATTCTTAAAACAAAAGCAAGGAACAAAGATCTGCTCTAGGGCACTTTGGGCCTTCTTGCAACAGACTTCTGCCCAGACACGAGAGATTATGAAGGATATGCTGGGCTGGAGAACCTGCAGCCTCTAAATGTTGATGAACTTCAATTCCCAGCAGGCACAGCCAGTAGCCAGGAGAGAAGAACTGAAGTAAAACAGCCTTGGAGGGGGCACGGATTCTCTGTTGTTGTCACCTGCCTCCAAGTCGGATTCTGGGGAAGTCACTTTTGACATCTTCACAGGCAAGCAGCCCATTTCCTCTCCCATAAAATACAGTAATTTATTTTACAAAACATCTTACATAAAAACCCATATTTCATAAGGCCCACATTTCATAATGTTCATAACCAACATCTATGGCAGACAAATTCCTGTAGCATGAGAAAACCCAAATGGGGCTTTCAGTGTACTTGAGATATTTAAGGAGTGATTTTGCAGGTTCCACACCCCCAGTGAGTTTCCATGGCTGAACTGGAATTCGAATCCAGGCCTCCTCAGTCCTAACGCAGGAGTTCCCAACCTAGGGCAATCATGGTGTTCTTGGACTGCAATTCCCAGATTCCATTCACCACCAGCTGTGCTACCTAGGGTTTCTGGGAGCTGCAGTAGAGGAACACCGGTGGTACCTAAGGTTTGGCCCTAGTCCATCACTCTACTCAGGGAGACCACAGTCCTGTTTCATACGCTACACCCTGGCTCTGGATTATGTACACTCACCTGCCCAACACTTTGCAGAGCCTTAAGGTCATTTTCAGATTTCTCATACTGCTTGGTGAGCTCCTTCAGCTGTTCCCTTACTAGAATCAAGAACATAAAAGCAATTGTTACGCATATTATAATCTGGGCTCCCTATTTCTCTGTCTCTGTCTCTCCCTGAAGAGACTGGTCCCTATAAAGAAACACACTGTGTTAGGGTGTAAAGTGCACTTTGCTGGGTACTTATTTGATCAGAATAAATTCAGCATCACAAATCATCCACACTGATGTTCAGTGAACCAATGTAGACTACAACCCTGCGTGCACTCACATAAGAGCACATTTGTCTCAGAAACTAAGCAGGAACAGAATGAAGCTGAAAGCCATTCGAAACATCACAAGCAGTACGAAGAGAAAAGACACTCTGATCTGTCAAA